AGCCCTAGACCAGAATTACATCGGAATCCTCAGAGATGCGAACAATGAAGCCAAGACTCGCCGTAAGACAAAGTCTGAAATTCTTCAGAAAGTCGAAAAGGATGGAAACGGGAGGGTGGTGATGTATGAAGATCTTGAAATGATTCGGGCAGATCGTGCGAGGAAGAAAGCGGCTAAAGAGGCCAAAGAAGCCCAAGGCAAAGGAAAGCGCGGTCGACCAAAGGCAGCTGCAGAGGCAGATCAAGGCAAAGGAAATATGGAGAAGCGTGTCCGGAATGGAAAAACTACAGTGCTGGAAGCGCACAGCCTAGATGATGTACAAAAGATTCCGTCGGCAATTCAAATGCCAATCGATCCAATGCTAGAATCCTGGAGAGCGCTCGAGGCCCAAATGTGGTGATAGGTTATAGCTGAACAGGTCTTAAGCATAAAGCCGTCTAACTCATATGTTCGTTCCTGCTTGTCATCCAATCAGTTACAGTCTTTCCTGTCACCTAGAGATGGAAGTCATTCATCTTTAAGGACATGGAACTGATAGTTCAATTGACAATTGAGTTAGATTCGACTATCTATTCCCCAGATAATCAGCCACGTTCTCAGCAAAGTTTTCGCTTGTAGCGTTGTGGAGCTGGAATAGCCACAACGCTGCCATGGATGTTTTCATCTCAAGGGCCTCGACCTCGAGTCGTCTATCGACTGCTGAGCTTGCTCTAGTCTATCCTTGATTTCCATTATGTAAGGGGCCCGCCCTAAAAGAATGTCCAAAGTTATCACTGGGATGATTTTGCCTAGCTTTTCACCCTTATTCCATCTTGCGATAACGGTTTTCACCTTCGCTAAGGCTTGATTTCTGTACCAAGACCCAAGGCTTGTCTCTGATGTCTCTGGTTTTGGAGGCTGTTGTCTCCAGCTGTGTGGTCCATAACCTTGGTTGAGGCACATCCAAGTGTACTCGTAGAAAATCTTGGGATTGAAATAGTATCTCGAGCCTTTGTACGTTCCTCTGAGAGACTGCCCGTTTTCCCTAGATGTTTGCAAGCAATCGAGAACCCGAGCACTGATGAGTGCACATTTTAGCCATCCCTTCTCATTCCTAGCTTGTTTGTTCGGCCACGCTTCCCACATTTGCATCCTGTCCGTATACTCTTCATCGTCTTCATCTGGATGCTTTTTTCGTCCCTCTGGGTCACGATCGTCCTTGGTTAGCGTCAGATGACTCGATTTTGATGGCCAGTCCCAAACATAGTGACCCTTGATTAAGGCAAGCATAGCTTTTGTCGTGTCATGTGCTTCGCTATAGTCCAGTAGCGTGTCATCGAGCCTCATGTACGGCTCAGGTGGGACCGTCAGCTACATGAGCTGCATGGTGGTATGTTCGTCCATTATAGTGTAGGCAAGTTCAGACTAGGCCGGGTGTTGATGTTGGCAACTCATGCGAGGGGGTTATGATTTAAAAGGGCAAACAGGAGAGAGCGGGCTTTTGAAGACGCTGCGTCGTTGACCGTTGTGGCTGAGCGTATTTGGGGGCGGCGTTTCAAGATGTCGTATGTTCAAGGCCTAATCAGTAAGCTGTACTCCGTATAAGCATGTTCTTTAGCGCTGCTGCCTAAATCCTTGGCGTCAATGTAAATTTCTGACTAACTAATTCTGCATACAGTTTTGCGCTAACCAAACACAGCAAGCGCACAATGCGAAAGTACCAGCTAGCATAGCGGCGCTGCAAGGTTTCGCGTCCCACAGCAGCCACAAGACCAGTGCGGCTACTAACTAGACGTCGCTGCGAGGTTCTGGGACTTTCAGGAAGGCTACAACTTACTATTACGGCCAATCAAGGTGTCATGTCAAGACTGTACTAACGAGTCTATCTCATGCCACAGAAGAAGGCCGTTTGCAAAGATGTTTGTAAGGATAGCAAAACACGAGTAATTTTCTATCTGCAGATGTATTTCAAACTTGGAGAGGACTATATTATAAGATTGCATATCTAGAAGACAGTTTTCTGCTGTGTGTGTAGACACATTTTGGGACAAGTTTGAAGTACCTGTTATTTGTTCCGTTACAGGGGTTGTTCCGCTTCTGTTGGATGTACGTTATTGTATTGTATTGTATTGCATAGGTTTATCGTCCTTGAGAAGCCCCCTAGGGGGCTCCAGCCTCCCGAAGGGCATGAAGACGGGCGAGGCACAGGGCTTATTTTCATGCCTATGGACGCCAATTCTAAGTAATTACATTTTTTGTGATTTCGTGTTGCCCTCTCTCCGCAGGTTGAGAGAGGAGTTCTCATTATCACGTGCGTAGGCACGTGACAACAATGTTTTGTCGTTTATTTTCCTCTTCTACCTTCAAGTATAAGCCTTTCTCCCTAACTCCTGTTTCTCTTAAGTAAAAACCTCGTAGGGGAAAAGCTTAAGAGATTTGAACAGGGAGAGAAGACTGCCTTTCCCCCTTGTCAATAGCCGAGAAAAATAGTAAGTGGGTCCGCACAGATGTGCGTTGATGGCTGTTGGATTCGAACCAACCGTCTGAAAAAGTCAGACTTGCCATTGGATGTACGTTAGTTAACTAGCTATGTTAACTACAATTAGAACAGGAATACCTGCATCATAAATTATCTCATCAGAACGATTCAGGAGTCGCACCACACGTCTACCAGCGCATTCGCGATTGTGTTTTATGAGAAAGCCTCTGTTGATTGTAATGGCTCCGCAGATGCTTCTTTTTCATTCCTCGCAGCTGTTACTTCAAAAAGGTAAGACTCGTAGCTCAACAGTGAACAATCCTTTAGATACAGTATCTCGCGTGAAGAGTGGTAACTTATTTTCCATTCATGCTCACCAGGCAACGAAAATGACAGCTTCAAAAGTTTCGCGCGATAGCATTTTATTTATGGTCTTTGTACCAGCTGTAGAGATCCTCCATTTCCTGCAGCTCAACTGGGCCAAATCTTTTGTTACATTCGATACATTTCTCACCGCCATGTCTCCACAAACACCAAGTTTCAGAGGGCTTCCCAGGGTAAGATCTTTTCTGAAGACGAGTTACACCATGTTTTTTCTGATAAAAACACACAACAAATCCGCGAAGCAGAAGACAGTCTCCCTCCTTGATACGCTGCTTGGTTTTGCTGGCTGAGTTTCCATCACCTTTATTCCAGCTGTTCAGGTCGAACACATCTATTGCAACCCTGATAGGGGGCAACGCTATGCTTGACCCGTCTATAATATGCAGATTATCATGATCCATTGCAACGACTACCCCCAGTGTGTTGACTCGCTCCAATGTCCCTTGTCGCAGCCAACAGAGAAAAATAGGCGTAAGGGCGTCAGACACTACGTAATCGTAGGGTTCAGAACTCGCCTTTGTAGTCGGTGCTGCTAGTCATAGATTGTCTCTTGCTGTATCAGATGGTTCTCGCAAAGTTTGCTGACCATCTGCATGTCCAGAAACATGAGCTTCTCTAGGTGCAGGAGGCGGATAAACAAACGCAAATTTAGGCTCTTCATTTCCAGTATGCTCCGGTTTTAGGGGTAGAGATGTTCTTGAGTCTTTTATCATTTGCTTTTTTCGAGTATAGTGCGTAGCTTCTAGTGTTTGTTCTGCTTTGTTTGGGAGCTCAATCCTTCGTTTTCCTATAGCGTAGTCATTCTGGTCGAATCGACTCACGTTCGTTCCAGCCACGCAGTCTGGAGGGCTAGCGAACATTATCTGTGTCGTCGAGTTTGATGACGGATCTTTGTTATCATTGATAGCTATTTCATCACCAGACGAGCCAGCCTGCAAGTTGTTGAATCCGATTGTCGGGGTGTGTGGAACGAACGGACTGGGGCCGGATACTTTCCGGAGAGCTTCTACCAGCACTTCCTTCTCTTTTTGTAAATTTGAAAGATCTGCTTCTAGTCTTTCGTTTCGATCGCCCGTATCTGATAATTGTTCTCGTAAAGTATCATTTATTCTCTCCATCTCTTCTCGTTTGCCACGCTCAAATGCAATCTGCTCGATCGCATCCTGATTACTTTTCTCAGATGATATCTTGAGCTTTTCATGGGCATCCTGTTCTTCGCAGAACGCAGACTCACAAGCTTTCGTATACAAATCCGCCTGTTTGATCTATTTTTGCTGTTAGCTATAACAAACATTTAGCAGTCACGATAGACTTACTTCTTTTTCTTGACATATGACCTTTGAGTTTAGGCTATGATTTTGCGTTTTGAGCTTTTCGCAATTATCTCTTGTGTCTTGAAGATCCTCCTCCAGAGTGTCTATGTAGTATTTGGTCGTCTTGAGTTCTGCTTCGAGTCTACTGATCTCTTCGTCCTTCTGAGAACTGTGTACTGTTAACGGAGGTCTGCATAAATGATACAAGTGTTTTACCAGCATTCAAACGTATGCCCGTCACGGCCATCTCGAGTAATACCAGCCATGCTGAAATTGTAGCGTGTAGCGTTAATGAGCTGATTGTGGCGGTGAACGATTGCCTGCGATGAGTGGAAACTGAAAAGATAGCTGCCCTCCTTTTTCTCCTCGATCGCGGTTTTTCCTGCAGAATTAAACTAATTACTCCCATCTAACTTATCCTTCCTATGCGTGAAACTAATTATACAAAATAATGTCTTGGCGGCAGCTGTTAGCCTAGTGTCCTGCACCGCGAAGATGTAAGACAATTATTCTCGTCATTTCATAACCATAAACAATTTCTGCAAAGCTGATATGTGATAGATGCAGGCTTAGCTATGCTCCGTCATCATTACTCTACATAAAGTGATCGCGTCTAGGCGATGATGATGCACATTAAAAAACAATTACTGTCGCTACTCAGGTACTTCTTATCATCGATTCCAAGGCGAATACTACAGTAACGAGATGTCAATTCTGTCGTTTGAAGATTGTACGCAGAATGTAATAGATTTTGAGACGGCAAAAATCAGAGCAAGTATCACGTTAGCAGACAGCGGTACATTTATGCACAGCCAACAATCAGAGACATTGAAACGTGGCGGCCCCGTCCGTCATTTGGAGAATATTCAAAGACATCACATTCTGGCTAGGGAGATGCCATTCTACACACGAAATGGGCATGACTTCTCCTATCACCCCCTGCAACAAGCAACGTGGTGTTTAGTTCTAGATCCAAGCACAAAGACACCATATTTCGAGTCGCTTGCAGAGTGTCAGAAGAGGATGATATCGGGAAAAATACTGTATGAAGACAGAGATCTGGGACAGGGTATTCACCCACGAGCAGATAGAGAATGGATATCCACACTGCTATGGAGGGAAGAGTGGTCAAAAGATGTTTATGAACTGAAAAATGTACTCCGTCGCAAGGTGAACGGAAAAATGCAGATCACGGTCCTCTTGTCACCTACCGACAAGGCGCGCGAGTTATTACGCAAAATCAGAAAGAAGCATGAATACATGTGGGATGGTCTCGTGCGGGCACCTCTTAATGCATTTCCACCGAAATGGAAGAATGAACTTCTACGTAGCATAGATAAGAGAAAATAGTTTACGCATGTAACTAAACAGCTAGTCAGATAAGCTGGATTAACTAACTACTCCTTACTGCCCCATTTCTTCGAGACATGTCTCCCGCAATTCAAAGAGTTGTCTTCTGAGTGGTTTCCCCCTATTGTTTAACACTAATCAAACTTATCATGATTAAACGTGAGGCGGATTATAGAAATTCACTGCTGGAAGTTTTGCTGTCGCTTGGGCTTAGCTCGACGCGCTCCAAAAGCCCTGCAATCTCCAGGTCGCTCTCGCACATATCCGAATAGCTGTCGCTGGACTCTGAATCTGTCTCAGTGTCATCGTCGCTTGATCTGTAGTCATCATTGGCCCTATTTTCCTCTCCGTCTTCGTCCACAACGCTTATATTACACTTGCTCTCAGTTTCACTGTCATCTTCGCTTTCGGTTTCACTGTCAGTTTCACTCTCGATTTCGATACCAGCGTAAGTATCGTCCTCGATTTCAATACCACTGTCAGTATCACCATCCTGATAGCTCGTGTTTTTACTGCATTTACGCCTAGGGTTGCGTCTTCTGATCGCTTGCATACTCGCGGTATCAACTGTGTGGGGCATATAATTTATCGATGGGTAGAGCAAAAAATCTTATGTGAATTATGAGTATCAGTCAGCAAGAGTCTTGATTGAAGATGTCGTAGTCGATGAGCAAATTATAGGGGTCCTAAGTAGTCCTTTGTATGTTCTAGTGAAATTCTCAATAGGCTTATGAATGCATGTGAGATCAAATCGTTGATCGACTGCGTGATGCATATGTTATGTAATATCTGACAAGATAACGCCCTTATCACATTCACGAACCTAGGAAATTCAAGTCGCTATCGATGTGCAGTCAGGTGGCAATTCTGAGCCAATATGCAGCATTTGTGATGAACACACATGACTTAACGCATTGGTGGCCTCCATTATCCACATAGCGTATCTACCATGATGCTTACGGGACGTCTTGTTCTGGTGACACATTGTATGCTTACTGGCCATAGACTAGCGCGTGTTCTGATGATTGAAGAGTCCTATGAACGCTTGTCTGCAGTGGCCATGATAGCGCCAGCAGTGAACAGCCCTTCTGACCACCCCCGAACACATACCATATCTGGCATCAAACTATTACAAACTTTGCAATGAAGGCAGACAGCAGTTCATCCAGCGCTCAACATGCCGTCTACAGCCATGAGTTTTCATCTGGAATTAGTTTCGTGGAACAAAACGACTGTGGTCGTCGCCTTACTCGTCCCGACAAGGAAGGATCTCGCGAAAATCGATTAGAACTACTGCCTAGCGTAGCGGAGGCCTCTCATAGTTACAGAAGGGCGCTGATAGTGCCTCACGTGACTATCACCAGGCTGTGCACAAAAAAACCTAGATATTTGAGCTCCTTGTCACCGATTCAAGAGAATACCACAAGCGTAAAGAGAGTATTGAATGACAAGGTTCACCATTTACCTCTGGATATGGCGGTTGGAGAAGACACGAGACACGTTCAGGAAGCTGCGCGTCCTGTCGACGCCTTGAACCAATGCGATGCCACAACATTGGAAAGAGATCCTAATGTCACTGGCATAGAGTAGACCGATGGCAAAGATAAATTCTGCAACTTGCGAGCGCTCCATTACCCACCAATGTACGAACTTCTCACGCCTGTGAGAATTCCTATGTCAGGCGACGATTTGGACGAGATGCATTGCGCGTTCTGAATTTTGACTCACACGGCTATTGTAGCAGCAATCGATTTATGCACCTAGCGGGATCTAGTTAGCAGGCTTGTGTCTTGCGCAGGAAGAGGACAGACTGGATGTAATTACACACAAAAGGCATGTAGTTAACTAGCATGTCTGCACTATCAAGAGGCACTGCCCCTTAGCATGTGATTCCCCTTACCACATGTGAAAAAGAGCTCCTTCGACTTTTTAGATATAATTAATAATGCCATCTTGTGGCTGGTTTCATAGTTAGTTAGCTTTACTCACGCGAGCTCCATTGATTCATGTACTAGCACGACTAATAATTTAGTAGTTAAGTAACTAGTTAAGTAGTTAGTTAGTTAGTTAACTTAATTAGATGTTTAACGTTAACTTAGTCAAGTCATCTATGAAAACGATTACGAAGTCTATTAAACAACTAGTTAAACAACTAACTAGAAATCAACATTTACATCATTTGCTGATTCTATTCATGCAATTAACTGATTAATGAATGAATGAATAAGAATAAGACAGACCAATCCTCTTAACTAGTCAAATTCTCTTTATCTACAGTGGCATCAGCTCCGACGGTGACTAGTTTACTCAGATTCGACATTAGCATATCTACAAGCTGACCTGACCTAGTTTCATGATCATCTAGTATATTTTGTATCTTCTCCTCGCAAGTTTTCATATGTGGATTTGGCCTAATTTCATTTTCCAGCATCTTCTGCATGTTCTCCTTAAGTATTTGCACATTGTTATTCATAGTGGCTTGATGAAATTCTCCTATATCTCTTAGATTTGGCGCGAAATCCTCCGGGTACTTGGGAACTCCAACATTCTCTTCACCGGGCTGGAGATTTGTATCGGAAACGAACATATTATCTTTTGGAGACACAATTGCAGTTGAACCTTGCCATCGCTCAGGCTGTTCCGGATTTATGTCAGTAGCGTAAGTCTTTTCGACTTCCACTTTCTCCATGATCTTCTTCTTCTTCTTTTTCTTCTTCTTCATCTTCTCCTCCTTCTCCCTCTCCTTATCCTTCTCCCTCTCCCTCTCCTTCTCCTTCTCCTTCTCCTTCTCCTTCTCCTTCTTCACGTCCTTCTTCACGTCCTTCACCCCATCTTTCACACCCTTCGTCAACATCTCTCCATTTAAAATGGCAGACTTGGCTAGTGCTGGTTTCATTTTATTAAGGTTAGCGGGTGATGCTGGTGTCAAACGAGCAAGTACTAAGGCGCAAACTGCAATTATATATGTATCGATGCGTAGAATGTGCACATCGTCTGACATACTGCATTGTCAAGAATGCACTATTTCTGGCTCCCAATGACCTCGATGCTCATCCGGTAATTGGGCAAACACCTACGCTGATAATGGCCGTGATACAAGGGCTGTGGGCACACTGCGCTCACTAATAAGCCACTACCCCTTCGTCAGCTTTCTCACCTGCTGACCGTAGATATTTAATCGTCATTTCCATTCTAGCAGTCCACTGCCGAGACTAATACTCAATATGCGGCTGACACAAGTTGCCTCGCTTGGAATTGCGTGCAGAATATTTGCTAGCACGCTTGCACATGTGAAACTAGTTAGCCCCGTGCCTTACGGCATTTCCACGCTCAATAATGCTCCACTAGATGGCACAGGTAGTGATTTCCCATGCAAGCTTCGACCGGGCGTGTACGATGTGACGCAGATGAACAGTTGGACGGCTGGTGAAGCGCAAAAAATCCGCTTTGTGGGCTCTGCAGTTCATGGGGGTGGATCCTGCCAATTCTCGTTGTCTGAAGATCTGCAGCCCACCAAGGACAGCCAGTGGAAGGTAATACATAGCGTGGTTGGGGGGTGTCCAGCTACCGCAGAGGGGAATTTGTTAGGAGGTCCTGCGAGCCCCATCCCGGACACATTTGAGGTCGTGCTCCCAAAAGAGCTGCCCAGTGGTACCTATACTTTTGCTTGGACCTGGTTCAACAAGAAAGGCAACCGCGAAATTTACATGAACTGTGCTCCAATTAGCGTCCGCGGCGGAGGAACCGACCCTGGATTTCTGGCGTCCCTTCCCGACATGTTTGTCGCTAACTTACCAAGCTCAGCGTGTTCAACCATTGAGAACTTTGACTTCGCGTTCCCAGATCCTGGAAGCGCTGTACAGACCGGGAGTCAGGCACGACCTACCACGGGGCTTCTCGGTTCCGGGTGTGCTTCCATGACTGCGTTCGGTGGCGAGCTGCAGACGCCTCGCCCAGCAGATGCATTATCTAACAACTCGCCCAGCCAGGCAAGCGCGCTCACAGTTTTGCACGAACAGCCGACGTATTCAGCTTCTGAGACCGCATCTCTGAACTGGTTCAGCCGTGCACCAGTTAAAGCTCTCGCTGCTGGAGGGATGCCAGCTTCCGAAGCCAAGGCTTTCGTTGCTCAAGCTACCCAGGCGTTGGCTTCCCAAGGGTCAACGCCACCCACAGATGTACCAGAAAGCCTACCAGCTGCATCTCAGACCTGCATTCCATGTAGTCCAGCGAACGAGGTCGTGTGTATAGGCAGCTACCATTACGGCCTTTGCGATCACGGCTGCGCGCGTTCCCAGTTACTAGCACCAGGAACGGTCTGTGCAGATGGGCAGATCTTGAAGCGTATGTTGTGAGAGGTAGTTATTGCTCAGTAATCCCTATGCAACATGCATCTCATTCATGTCTGTCTTTGTTTTCTTTCTGCGATGCATATGTATGAACGCAGGCGGTGTATCGAGAGGATTGAATGTAGCGGAACGATCATGAGACGATACGGAGGAAAACGAGCGAAAATATATGAGATACGCATTGAGGTACTATATTCCTACAATAGAATGGTTTTTCATTACATGTTCTAGTTACTTCCGAAAACGAATGAAACGAGATGGACATACAGTTTGACTACTCCGCAATGTTTTATGCTTAGCCCGATAGAAATAGGTCATAACTAGCTACAAAATTTGTTGCCAAGTGATCTAGGACGACCAATGTTTTTGCCTAAAGTTTTGGTGGACTAGGGTTGTTTTGCACCGACCTGTACACAGGGCTCTGCACTGGTGCTCCGCCGAGCTCGACGGGAACTTCGTTTACTTGCTTACCGGTCTGGCCGTGTAATATAACAGGTGTTTGGTGACCCACACGAGCCTTACGGATGAGGAAGAAGAGGAGACCTGCACACAAAGTGAGAAAGACAACCACACCAACTGTGATGCCAGCGATGGCAGCCGTAGAGAGCTTCGGGGAAGGTTTGTTGACAGATACGAGTTCTGCCTGTGAGCTAGCCGTCGGTGAAGAGACAAAAGTTGAAGAGGCTTCGTTGGGCACGGGATCGCCAGGTGCTAGTTGGTAGTCGGCCCTAGCTGCGGCCAGTTGCTGGTCATGGAGCGTCTGAGTGGCGTTTGGATTGATGACGCCAATCATTTGCTTCCCTTTGCACGAATCTGGGGCGGCGCAGTAATAAAAGATCGGTTCCGTGCTGTTGATTGTCAAATTCCAGTGGGTAATCTGCTTTGTCAGTCGACAACGTCACATCATTTGAATCGTGTGCGACTGCTCACATCGTTGTGTGTTTTGACCCATTGCGTCCCTGACCAGAATCCGATTCGATCTTTTCCAGTATATTCGTAGGGTACACAAGCGCTTCCAAACTCGGCCCGAGCCACAGAATGGTCTGGTGGGTAGAACTCGAATGTGACGACGTCTCCGACAGATACATTGGTCAGCTCTGCAGGTTCGAAGTGGAAGCCGCCTGCGCCGGCTTTGACTGTATGGTACCGCACTTCAGTGGCGCTCGTTTGTGTGTTAACAGTAGAGGTCGGAGAAACGATGATCGAAGTTGTGGCCGTTGATGTGGTCGAAGATGTTGCGCTCGTGCTGCTATCAGTCGTCATTTGTACAGGTCCTTGTGCCAAAGCAGTGACTACCATAAGGGTGAGTGTTGTCGTCCGACCAGTTCTTGTTAACATCATTGTGCGGGCTGTAATTTTTCGTGGTGCGATCAGAGTCGATAGTACACTGGAATTTTGGAGGAAAACGGAGACTAACAATGGCTACACACTTCACATGGACACTTAGGCACCGGAATGTTCTGAAAATGCCAAGCAACTATCAGAGATCATTTACATGCTCATTTGAGTTCATGTGATGCTTAGCTAGGATTTGATCACCGGCAATAGACGAAATCGAGGCGCATTAGATAGCATCGCCGTGTCAGTTCAGCCAGCTCCTTTACCATGACGTAAAACGAAGGTAAAGACATGACCCTGCCAAAGGATCTAGCATGTATCCTCCTAAAAGAACACATATGTACGCGTTTGGGAGGCAGGCAAGGTCTGCATCCTGTACGGTCTGCTTACTGTTTGTAATGGCTTATGGTCACTTGCATCGTGCTGACAGTTTGCATGTGGAATAGTTTTGGACAATCTCTGTAGTGCATGCTCTTCTTTCTGACTGCCTACTTTGGTTATTATCTCTGAGAATATACTCGAAGATCACAAATTCTCACCGAAAGCGTCTGACTTGGAAAGCAGTTCTCTAGGATAATGGCACTGCCAAATATAGTTATGTAGACTCGGCAGCCGTATAACCGATAGCCCAGCCTGGCCAATAAATTACGCATTTTCCGTACAGTTTCGCGTCACCTACTACGAATTAGTGCCAGGGCTGATCTTGTGAATCCCGGTGCCCTCGCCTGCCACTACGATGTTCACGACGTTGTTATTCAGTTAGGGGTCGTGCAAAAAGAGTCCCACGCCAAATCCAGTCCGCTGTTCATTGAAAATGTTATGTAATGATTCCTCGCTACTAACTTAGATCTCGTGGATGGACAGAGAAGGTGGGGGCCGTGTGAAATGACATCAGTGCAATGGAGAAGGGAAAGTATCCATTTTTGAGACCACGCACACAGAAACAGACTAGAGCAACAGGACCAGGGTAGGAACGATCTGAGTACTGTGAAGAGCTTCTATGTTTGAGAAAGCCGCCGCGATTTCAGAAAAATATCTCTTGATTGATGCATATTGATTTTTCTGCTTACTCACGGTCCTTACGATGATGTCGTGAACTCTGCAAAAAATCATTTGTAAAGTCTATACCTCAAAGAAAAGTTCCGGTACGGGAGGACAACGAGATACTTCGAGCAAGTGTTACTCTCCCTAACTACTCCTAGTAGTTACATATATTGATATTAAACCGAGTACCAGAGTGTCTTACTAGCACCGCTAAGTAAAAGCTTTTTGTAGCTTACAACAATCTACTCTCTTATTACTATATGCAAGATGTATGTACACACAAAGTGAAATTGGCTCAAAGTCGACATACCTTGCTGATCCTCTCTTGGGGGTGCTTTTCCTGACACGAGGGATGAACATTATATCATTTTCCCCTGATTTCCGCCATTTAGGTGTGTGTATACGTCTGCATCCTTCTTGCACGGCACACATGAAGGTTTTAATCGGCATTCCGTAACTAGTCTTTTGAATTATTCAATTACAGTATTGCGGTTGCTGTAACCCCTGAAACATATCGGCGGCAACACCGTTGTTCCTTGCCTCGTTCTAGATTGTAGGTCTCACTATTCCGCTTGGCTACTGCGCCCTGAAGGTTGAACAGTATCTTGTCGCCGACCGTAATATTGGTCATTGCGAGGGATAGGGCGCTAACGCAAGTGAAGCGCACCTTTATCTGTCCCTGTGCATGGCGGAGTCTCAGGCTAGGCTCGGCAGGAATGATAGCCATTTCACCATGAAAATTGCTCTGATATATCCTGATTGCACATCCGGACGAATTTCTGCAATTGCTATGTGATCCATCTGTTGTAGGCTATGCAGACATACACTAGTGCAGGACGAGCACTGTTAAGTCTGGGTATGTACGGACGTCTTGATCATATGAAATATACTGCGTATATCATTTAAAATGCCTATGATGATGACGTCGAAAAGTACTCATGGGATTTTTGGTGTATAGGCGTCATCACAATACCGGATTGTGGCTAGTTTAGGCAGTGTTAACTAGCTGCGCTCTATGGAGACTGTTTTCCTTTCACCATTTTCAGATGGCGAAGGGTCGATGGTGCTAGCTCATGGAGCTGATGACATGCCGAGCCTATCCGTCAAAACGTCTACAATACGTATAGCCACCGGTCCGCGGGTACGAAATCTTCTTCTTCGATCCGTTCAAAAGAGACCCCTTCGTTCCCGTCGTATAAACCAGTGCTACCATAGGGCCCTTTGCTGCTGAAGACCGTAGCGGGAGACCAACTGTCTTTGGAGAGCTTCTGCAGCCTAGAAAAATCGCCAAGCACCTTGTGAAGCCCGGGCTCAAATATATAGCCAGCGAAGAAGAATTCTATATAGAGACTATCCTGCCTTTTATAGCAGGAACAATGCTTTATCAAGAGACGAGCTCGATCAAGCAGCACTCGAAGAGCTTCCATGGTGTTCAACGTCCAGCGGCTGTTTGCATGCTCGCAAATGTGGACTGCACGCACTTGGAGAATACCAGAAATCTCGCAAAACCCGCTAGTGAAGAAATCGGCACAGATTGACGGCAGCGACACGGATAGAGTTTGCGATCGAGAGAGTTTTCGAAACACCGCACAGTAGTGCTGGCCGCTGCTATTGGGAGAGCCAGGATGTGAATGCCAAAATCCATCCTGCGATCGAAGGCTGTGCTCTATGATACGAAGCGTTGCGGGAGCTGCCTCGGCCATTGCCACCACGCTGTCTATGGTGGCAGAGGAATTACAGGTCAGATGAAACTCTTTGAGCCTTGTAGCAGTGCTGGCGATCCCGGCGACATCGCTGTCTGTGACAGGCATAAAGGTCGTGTTGCCGAAGATCTTCAGGCGATGCAGGTAACCAAAGTCTACTGAAAACAGGAGATTGAGGTCAATCCAGTTTGTTGGATCGGCCAGTTGTTGGGTCGTGGGCTCGACACATTGCAACTCCAGGGATTCCAGTCGCACTCTGCGACCTGTTGGCAACACTTGCCACGAATCATGGATCAAGTAGCGGATAGTCGTCCATGGACACGACAACGAAGTCAGGTTGTCGCATTCTTTTAGTGTTTCGTAGACGAGTGAGACCGTCTCAGCGGTATAGAAGCCATGGACACATACACGCCTGATTGCCGACCCAAATCTAGGAAACTCTCTGCAAATGCGACAGGTCAAACCATCGCTACATAGTCAGCGCATTCGGCTCTCAGGCAGCATGTGCGCACTTACCTCCACACTTCCCCAGTTCTTGAGGAAAACCTCGCGTAGCGCATAGTCCAAGGCCCAGTCATGCCACGTTTGGCACACTAACCGTAGTACAGAACTCACGTCCCACCTTAGCTGATCCAACAGAAGAAGTCCTCTCACATAGCGCTAGCAGTGCGATAGAGACAGGAGCATAGGTGCACCTGATATCCCATAGGTGAATCTAGGGCTGTCTCATATGTTGGCCTCTGTGACCTCCTCTAGGATTTGGCCAAGAATCTCAAATGGCAATCTTTGGATACTTACTCATCATCTGCGGCTGCTTGGATTGCTGCATGAAGGTAATATGAACAGGTAGATGGAAATATCAATTCAGGGTCGACAAGACACGACCTGTATGCCGTGACCCGCTGCAAGAGGATGCTGAGTGTTCCAATGCAGGTGTCTCAGCCGGAGCGATATTTCCTTACATTAGCTGAAATTTGCTGCCTACTGCCGCATCCTGGTTCTAGCAATCACCAACGACCTCTGCTTGCTCATGGTTTGTATACATCGAAGCGATGGCATGACCCGACGGGCCATGTAGAAAAAGTAATGAGGGCGGTGAATGGCTGATAGTGTGAGCATTTGCAGAATGCTGAGATCGAGGTCGAGGCTAGTCGTAGACAAGATGCCAAGAGAAAGCACGTAGGGCCAGATTCTTTCGTGAGCCCAATGACATAAAGTGCCGGGCTGCGTGATGACACTAACACAGAGTGGTTTGTCTCGAGCCGCCTTCTTCCTCGCCAAACATGTACTCAAAGGCCCTCGTCCATATATATTGGGCTGTGGGCATTAGCGGGCACATGTAGGTATCTTCATTTGCTTGTGTGCCGTCTATGGCAAGGCAGAAGTTGTGATGCCGCTACCCCATATGCTAACGGCTGACCAGGTCACTTTGGTATCCTGGACCGCTCGGAGGCGCCAAAAAGGCCAACGCGATGTCTACGTACGTGAATCGCGAGCTCAACTTCCCTCTAGGATGCTGTGACAAGGACGGCCAGGCTACCTTGCCAAACCCAGGCGTCTGTCGGGGCCACCTTGACCTGTTCGACAAGCAGGAGCCGCAAGTGGTGCGACAAGCCGGCCAGGATGCTTACTTCCAGCTTTCCGACCATACGTACACAGCGGGCGCGCCGGGCTCCACACCCTACGGAGGCAGCTGCCAGGTAGGCTTCTCTCTAGATCGCACCAATATCTTCACAGCCTTCGAGCAGAATGAACCGCTTCTAAACAATTTGCAGTGCTGCGTCGCTTGTCACGAACATATCTCACTTTACAGCTTGCCGATGAAACATTTTCTCTGCAGGTAGTAATGCGATGACGTTTACTTTGCAGCCCATGCTTAGAACTAATCTCATTAATGTTTACTACATATATGTATTACTATAAATGATCAGTTGACCTTTAGAGAAACGGCTTATCAATGTAACTATATATGTATTGACAACCATAAGCATTGAAATGTATAATAACATACATAGTAAGCATGGCAACATTACTGTACATCGATACTTAGTTTGATCTTTTGCACCTCTTCCAAATATATATGCTGTAGAGTTTATCTCCCACACATCACCCAATTTCGAGTGAGTAAAAACGCCAGGAGCCTAATCCAGACGTGCCTCTTCTAGAGACGCGTATTTTATAATTATTATGGATTTAGAGGAATCTATCGCCGATATTCGGGATGCAATCAAGCAATGCACTGACTCTGATTTGGGATGGATCATTCGTAATCTTGGACCAAAAGATCTCCTTGCGGTATATCTTATTACGGATAATGTTGACGTTCAACGCAACCTTTTAACCCAGGGTCCTGTCAAGTCTGTATCGAATATGTTAGACATACTGTCTTATCATGAGAAAGCAGAGGTCCTCAAATACATGTGCAACGAACGACGATTGGGGGTGGTGGGGACATGGTGCAAGGAAAAAAAGAGTAAAGAACTACAAAGATTAGATAAGTGGCAACTTCAAGAAGATAATGCGTGGCGATGGGGACTTGCAGACACGCGCGTGTGGACACACGGCATGGATAAAAGACTTCCGGGTCATTATCCCGTAAATATGAACCGATGCGCGATGTGTAAGCAAATCTACTCAAATTGGGATAGTATTAGTATTCTGGATTGTAGGAAGCATAGTTATTGTGAAAGCTGCGACAAAGATCAGAGCCATTGCCAAAGCTGTGACATCCAGTAACATAGGCATTGCATGTGTGTTAGTAGCTATATTACCTAGTTAATGAGTTAGTTCTGTAATCAACTGAATTAAGTTACACTATTAATGCTTCGTTAGGACAGCCTTCAAACAAAATGTCTGCAATATTGAACGTCTCGCTAGTCTTTTCCGCAAGGCGGCTTGTCCCCTCCTTATTGTTTGACCCCTATCCAAACGCGACTTTGCATCCTTATAACATATTTGGATGTCTGCATAAGCAGTGCAACCGCGAAATATGGTTGCCCTAGGGTTTGGTATTGCTCAGTCATCGAGACTGCGAATGCCGGGAGTTTCACCATGCAGAGCAGGAAACACGAGGCAAACCCCGGTGTGAAAAGGGCAAAAGTTAGTAATTTACCTAAGTACTTAAAGAACTAATTATTGAATTATGAACTATGTCAAAGATAGATGCAACCGCAATCAGAGATACAGAAAGCTGGCACGTATCTAAAGACCTAGTTTCCATGATAATGTGATATGGTGATTATTGCGTTAGTTGTTCGATAAAGTGTGCTAACTAATTGAAAATTTGGTGTTTATAAATTTGGCTCGCGCCAGCTGAGGGTTGCGCTTATTTACGTAGAGCCGTTCGTCCCCAAGTGACTTACTGGTAACCCCAAGTGCACTTGCTTGAGAGGACTGCGCGCCCGCATTACACAACGCAGAGCGCCAGAACCAGCTGCCCACTTGTGCGCATCTTGATGTGATGCGCAAAGCTGTTGCTAGATAATTAGTTATAACACGTCATCCATCTTTGAGACGATTTTGACTTTTTTGATTTGCACGCCGCACTGCACTTCGATAGTGAATATTAATAATCATGTACAAGGATCGCACAGAACATTGTAAGGGGCTGCGCTCTGGGGAGCAATCGCGAGGTGTACAAGAGGTTGCAGTCGATAGAGAGCTAAGCTTCGAAGCTACCTTGCTATCTACTTATGTAATTAGTAAATGTAGCCTCTAAGTCCCTACTCACCACATCCTTGTATGCCAACTATATGTAATAGATACTGGATTGTCATACTAAGCCTATTACCGATCCAACAGTGCACATAACAACCTACGGAAAAGCCGGTTCCTTCTATCCTTTTCTCAGAGAACAGCAGAAATGCGCAAAACGTGGCAAGAACTACTACCACCAAGATTGGAATTCTGGAAGCAAGACTATAATAGTGTACTAGAGCAATCAGAAGATTGCATCGTCTTCGAGTCCCAGGCCATCCTCTATCACCTGGCGCACAGGCTCGAAAACCCCATCTCAATGCTGGCTACGCAGCAGCGCTGCCAACTGTAGCATCTCTTCTATTGAGCCTTTTTCTGCGAGTACTGTTTCTTGGAGTCTTAGTACTCTTTCTTGGACTCTCAGTAGGCATGATTCGAGGGCATCAGTAAAGGCACTGCGAGTGTCTCCAGACGGCTCAGGTATCATCATGGGCCCATTTGTACGCGCAGCATTTGCAAAATGTCCAGAATTTCCGTTACTGTTAGAAATTGCAGAGTAGATTGAACGAGAGACACTTGTCTGGCACATATCTTCAAAGTTGTAGCAGCCATAGGGCTCGCGATATGTTGGCGTCCAAGCCGGCTGATAGCCTGAGAACCCCGGCCAATAGGTAGCTACTGGCGGCCCACTTGGAGGTTGTGCATGGCTCTGTGGCTGGTGGTTGTATGTTTTATGACGGTCGTACACCTGACTAGAGAACGGGTCCTGGTAGAATCTGGCTGAGGTGCGCTCAAAATATGTAGAGCTTGTAAAAGTCGTGCTGGAGTCGAGGGAAAAGGACAATGGTGTGCGGCTTTGTGGCGCTGACACAAACCGCTGCGGTGTGCAGCTTTGTGGCGCAAAAGTGCAATCCAAGCTTAAGATGGGTTTACTGGGCTTTGTAGGCGACGTTCTGGCTCTCTTTCTGCTGGGAGAGCTCATTGGCTCTAGCATGCGCTTTCTTGGGTTTTCTTTGATGTCCATTTGTAAACTGACAGATGTGTTTTCTGCTTCCTGAGATGCATGCGGGCTGCAGACCAGGGATCATATGTAGGGAATCTTACCCACTGTGCTCGCAGAAAACAGTCATCACTCAAGATGAGAGAGCGTGTGTCTCTCTGCTTACGAATATGGAAAAAGAGTAAGACATAAGCTATGATGCATTTCGCGTGTAGAACATTTGTCTTGTACACAAAATGCCTCCACATCGTGTACAATCTTATTTATGCTGCTCAGGTTTACTCAAACAGTGCCCGGACAGCGTCCGATTAAAGGTCGTCGATTGCCATTCGTGCTCACCGTCCCTAAATGGTACTAGGGAATTACTTCGTGCGGTTCAAGCATGAGAACCAATCTGATGTTGTGTTTCAGCAGCTCCGGCTATGGTAACCATGGTTGGGCAATGATATGTAACTATACGATAAAGTCACGTCTATTAACAATTTTTTCTTACCTTGAATGCTGTGGATCCTATTGTTACATACACAACCCAGAATGTTGATAAGAAAGGCCTTTAGCTTAACTAATTAGTTGATTGTCATTCAAAACTACGAACTTTGAATCTTCTGGCGGTTTGTTCCAGCCTTCTTGGATCGCTTGCCTCCTTTCCGTTGTGTGGTCACAGGGATATGATACGTTTTCCTCGCCAGGGACGCAATCTCATGCTCCGCTCTCAAATATCTTCTCGACACATCTCTTTCATGTGTTTCTCGGGCCTGCATTGACCCTGTCTCTCTTCTGCTGCGGAGTACTAAATCCCTCGGCGATACCCAGATTTCTTTTTCATTTGCGGCTTCGCTAGACAATTGCAACAGCACAGCGTGGCTGCGTGGAGTAGAGAAACATATTGCTCGCATGCTCTCCGCTGTAAGTGGTGCTGTAGCTGTCGTTGAAAGGTCACCATTTGTAGCGCTGAAGTTTTCACTCATGCCGAGATGTGCAGGGGAAGTACACAAAGTTTGGTGTTGATTGTATTCCGTCCTAGCGACTGAGAGACATAACTCATCAGCTGGGTAGCGTTAACTTGTGCAATTCGTATGTACGGTAAGGGGGACATACCTGCTGTAGTGGAAGTGGAATACAAAAAAGGTGAGCTACTCAAATGTTCCGTTCGTGTTTCAGGCGCGTACTTGCGTTGTAGCACTGGCTCCCAATCCACTGTCGCCCCATATAGATCGGGATATAAGGTATCGGAGCCCATGAGGGTACTGTCGAAATATTGTTCAAACTCGATGGCTTGAACATAGTCATCGACGTATGCCTCAGCGTTAGCCGTGAGGCAACTGTCGTCTTGAAGTGGCCATATTATGTCTATATCAGCAGTGGCTTCCATTGGCGTTTTGCAATGAAGTTTTCTCAAAAGCGATGGCTCTTTCATTGCGTTTGCTTCCCACCTGAAGAGACTTTGAGGTTATACGTAGCGACTAGTTATTGCTAGTCAGCGAACCTGATGTTCGTTGGTTACAAATCCCATCAGATGCTCCGTGCCACATAGTAGCGAGAAATGTGATTGCTTGGACGCGAAGCAACACACACCAGCGTGAGCACACCTTAACGATCTCTGGGGTGCCTGCTTATTGCGTGCCTTGTTTGTACTTGCAAGACACCTAGTTTCGTACACCGGAATTATGCTGACGCGAGCGACTTGATATGGATCATGTACATATAGTTATCGGTTGTCATATTCTACACTACCACCAATGTAGGGGAAAAGTATCCCAGTGATGGTAGCTTGAGAGTTCATTGACAAAGAAAGTAAGTAGAGTGCTTGGAATTCAAGACCAAACCTTTGTGTTTGCTTTGTATGTACAGCCGTTAGCGATTGCGGCTTCACTTCTGCATGTAGCATTCCATCGAACCAGTCATCGTTAAATCAGCGACTGACCAATGACATCAGCCGCTCTACAGCAGACATCTAGCGCTAAGCCATATTTGGAGGGTAAGACTGTTCTAAATCTTTGCATGTAGGGGTAAAGCCGCGATCGCTAACGGCTGTACATACCGTTATGTTTGAAATTGATACATAGAGAATGCATGCTGTACTGATCAAACTATGATGATGTGCAACGACTGCAAGCATATCAACACTCGGGCGACTACGATAGTCTCAAGGCCATAGTGTGAGCACGATAAGTAAGCATGCTGACAAGGCCATATGAGATAGATAGAAGAATTCCCTAGGTCACTGACAGTTCGCATATTGAGGACAACGTTGCCAAGCTATTGACACGGCACTTCCTGCGCCATGTCATTTAGGGTTTGTATTCGCAACTGGCGCATCCTTCTTAGAATAGCCCTTGTTTTACTGGCCTTCTTACTTTGCCTTTTCTGCGTACTAGCAGGCATCCGCCCGAACTGGTTTAGTGAACTTTACCTCGTCCGCGTAAGCTCACTTTTGGACGCAGCTGCATAGTGTAATATCGTTAACCGTGTACCAGATAACTGCATTCCACGATGCGCTTGAGAATCTCGTTCACACGATTCCTGTTTTCGATGAAGTGTTAGATGCAGGACTAGACAAAATTCTCGAGAAGACAGATGTGCCTCGTGCGATTTCAATCTACGCCGCAAGCTACTGCAGCTTGAGCTCTGAAGTAGAAGGAGAAGCTACGAGCGACTGCTTTGTACACAAGTCGACATTCTTTGACGTAGCCGCCGGCTTACGTGTATACATCGCCATTTTGTATCTGCTAGGGGCTACTTCGTCTGTGGCTAGCCTGGTTTTTCTATCGCGGCTGTTGTGGAAAGACAACCCACGCTACAGAAACTGGGCTGCTCTATTTACATTGGTCGCGATGGGAGCGGCGCTATTTGCTTCTTTGATCACTAGTATGCTTGCGTGCGCCGTGTACATGATCTTTTCTGGCAATCTTCCTAAGTCTCTCCTCTCCGTAACAGTCAGCCCTAGCTTCCTTGTCTCTACATGGGTGGCCGTCGCATGCTTGACGCTGGTGTTGTCCACGATACTGCCTCGAACCTTGTCTCAAATTGATTGATTCAGCAATTATTAACCCCAGTTTTGGTAGCTTTGCATCATCTTGACCATATGGCTAGCCTCGTACCCATTCCTCTTCTTTCTTGCTATAGCGTTTGGAATTATTAGTCATTTAGCCAGTTAGCCAACTACTTAATGTCTCTCCCGCATATAGAAATATGGAAAGATATTCCCGTAGCTCATACACAGCATAGAAATCCACTAACTAGTTCATTGATTTACTAGCCATATTTGATGAGCCAAAAGCGTAATTGCATGTCCAAAAAAGCAAAGCACAGGCAAAGACAGACTCAAAAAACTCCAAAGTTGATTTCGTTGTTTTCCTAATGCCCTAGTTACCCGTCCTCTTTGGTGCCGCAGCGGCCTACCTGCCTAAGAGTTATTGCCTCACTCATTTCTCCATCCATCACCACGACTAACACCAAGCACTTCATTTCACTCAGCAGTGACATTGCCTCCACATAGAAGACAAGTAAGCTTCTCATGATTCCCTTCCGATACACTGCCAAGCAAGCTGCCAAGCAAGTATACCGGCGGGTTGTTTCCTGCTTGGTGTTGCGCCCACTTTACAGCACAATCACGGTGAAAAACGTGATTGCAACGAAGTTTCATGCAATACTCCTATGGTTTCATCTCTTCTTGACAATGTATGCAAAGTCCCTTTATCGACAGGCTGGCGGCGGTCTCTACTTGGAAAATATCTTCCTTTGCTATCTTTTGAACTCCAAGGTTGTAAGTTCTGTGATTCCTGATGAGACCTCTCGGTTTGCTGGCTCGAATGTCAAGCAGCCTCTCAACATGATGGAGGCTCTTTCTGAGTCTCTACTCCTGTAAAAATGCTGGTAGCATTGAAAAAATGCCTCACAAAGCAAACGATAGCCGAATATTGGCTTCCATTCCGTAACCAGCTTCCTTGAAAGAACTTCGGAGGTCAGTACACGCTTGATCGCTGACGTCAATGTCCGATTTGTTGTGGATGTTCAACCGATTTGCCAGATGCAGTTTGGGATTGGCTCCGAGTGGTACCAGTAATGCGGACGCTTATCAAAGCGTGGGTAGATTTGGGATGATGGTACGAGGGTGGAAAGTGCTTGACAAAGGAAAGACACGGCGATGAGGGCGCAGTTGTAATTATATCGCTTCGATACTGGATGTGGTCAGTGTATGTACGTAGCTGCCAAGGCTCTTGGCGCATCCTGTTCAGCAAAACATAGGTACCTACGTATGGCCGAGCTCAGGAGACACATCTTCCCTATTACTCATTCCAAAGATCTGTCTCCCTACTTGCGGCGCTGCGTGCCCTAAGAGCCTAATGGATCTGCTCGTTATATTTGCCGCTAACCACTTCTTATAACTAAGGAAATTTAGTCACTGCAGTTTGCGTACAAGGGACGCAAAGATGACTCTTTCAGTCCCTGCGCAATACTTTATATATTGATAATAAGGGCCTTGGCGTGACTAGTGGCTTGTGGATGTCACGTAGCCCGTGACGGTGGCTTCAACAGTGGCCAGGGCCAATCGCCTTGTGCCATCTCCGTCTTATCAATCCAACGTTCCTTTGAGTATCTTAATGTGTAATTGAGAGGCGAGAAACATGAAAGAAGACGTACGCGGACAGCTGAGAGGAGCCTTAGACTAAAGGAGTAACAGTGAATGATTTATGAGGGCTCTCGAAGTGCGATAGGTTGACGCAACCACTGCTGGTCTGCTAAAGGTGGTTCAGGGTCAATATTGTATTGTGATTTTTCATAATTAACTAACTACGAGATTTGTTGCAATATTCTTGGTCACTCCTCAGTGCACTCTCCACTATGTCTATAGCAGGCGCAGGTATAACACAGGTCGTGGTAGCTGCTTTCAACCTTGTAATTGCTTTCAAGATAACGACTCAGTGTAATAAATTAACAGTTTGAAGAACAGAGATGATAACAAGATGCGATGTGAGTATCATTCGGTCCTCTGAGTTCATAGTTCCTTCGTTTCAACTTAGGACAAACACGCTGATAGGTATTTTACCTATGGCTGCATATTCCATCTTCTTTATCTTCCCCTTCACGAACACACTGTAAACACAGTCCATTGACCCAGTCTTGAGCCTCTTTAGCTCTCTCTGAAATTAGACTCAAGGTCCTCAGCAGGGGACAATAGCTACCTCCTTCACAAGCGTGTTTTACACTTTCCCTAGCGCTCGTGAATCGCAGCGAGATTTGGGAAACAGAGGAAGCCGCAAAGTAGCCAACAGTAGGCCATAGCTCTACGGCACGCAAGACATCAAAATACTGAGCCACTCTCGTCTGCCCTGTACAGTAAACCGCTAAAAGCTGAGTGTTTTGACATGGATGGCACCGCTTTGCCTCGCCCGGAAGGTTCCGCCCACATTCGGTACAAAGAAGCTTCCAGGTGTTATAGCATCTAGAATCGTCACGTATTATACGTTCCATGCATTGCAAGACGGCTTCGAGCTCGTTCAAAACTCGTTGTATCCTCTTCTTTATGGAGTCTAACCGGTTCTTGTTAGTGCATGTCCATGTTAAGCACCCTTTCACACTCACTAGTCACACTTATAGGCAAGATTGATAACAGTGCTTCTTCCTTCCATTTTACAGGGAACATCAAGTTCAGCTGTAAGACGGCTGCTCTGGAAATATCTCTGAATTCCCTGCGGTCGCCAAACATGTAGGCAGCTAGTACCTGGAAACCGAACGCAGTAGCATCGCTGCTAATTCCACTCACATTGCGGAACCACGTGATTACCCAAGGCCCCAAAGACCTAGTCAAGTCATACTTGTCGCAGTGGAGTGCAACCTGTGCCAGTCTTTCAGAGGTCATTTCGTGGTCTGTGCTATTGCCTTGAAAATGGAGGACCCGGAGGATCAGTTCCATTACATCCGGTTCGTCGTCCCCTAGTTCAATCACGGGTAGTTCTTCTGATATTAGCCTTTGTCCCTCGCGGAATGAGGTGCTGAGCATCTTTGTAAAGACTGGAGAAGCAAGACGGAGCACGTTCGTGGAAACTCGGAGATCCCTCTTAGCCTCACTACACAGGCCTGAAAGCCTCAAAATGATCTGACCGACAGGATCCATTATGGTCTCTTGGTGGTTAGAAGTTCCGGTAGCAACTGTTGAGTCTTCTTCCTATAGGAGTCAACACCTTTCGACAGTAATCGTGGTAGGGCATACCTTGTTCATGGTTGTTTCTGCAGCTTGCATTGTCGTAAGTGGCATTAAGAAGAAGGCTGCTTCTACGTTTTTAAGAGCACGTGATTATAATTGTGGTGCAGAAAAAAGCGCCTTTTGTTCGAAGTAGGAGCTAGAGCGTTGAAAGATATTGAAACGATGCTTTTGCGTGTAACACTGTGGCTGGGGGACGTTGGCTGTATTAGGCATAATGAATGCTTTCTAGAAAGCTGTGTACGGTACGTTGCGACGCTTACCACATGACTAGTCATAGATATCATCACGGTGAAAGCTGGGGCGTAATCATATCTCGCACATTCTGCGAGTGATGTATGGGGAGTTTGTAGCCTTGAGTCATGTGCTCTAGCTACCTATCAGCATTATACTAATTAATCCTAGGTTGAAAGAACAAGGCAAGGCCCCATTCACGCTCCTTGGAGATCATCACGGTCAAAGCCATTGTGTATCCTGATACCGGTCAGGTGTTTGAAGCTTCTCACGATCAGGTAGTAAGGAGAGTCGTGACTAAGGGTTAGCAACGCAGGTCATTTGTCACGAACCATCGCAGCTTTAGCATCGAATATGACTTGTTTTGATGTCATTCAAGCTAGCTAAGAGTCTTACACCAAAGAAAACGTGTAGGTCGCAGTCTTCTGTTGAACACCGATGGGTCCAATCTTCCCGAAAAATCCGATTCTTTCAATATCTCTCTCTGTTCAAATCTCTTTCATATAACTACTTTCTTGGCTATTTGATTCGGCTACAGTTTTCTTCTCTATCACTCCCTCAGAGCATTGACTGACCCAATCAGCCAGTTTTTGCGCGGCCGCTTCTAGCATGATTTCGTTGGTGGCGTCGTCTGTCTTGTTGCTTGTAGTGTCATGCCTGGGAACAATGAACGGAAAATGAAAGGCGACGTCCGGGCGTTTCAGCGCATCGTGCTCGGATTCAATTTCGTGATCATCTCTTGCAGGTACCCGGAAACTAATACAGATATGGGAATTATGAAACTCACTAGAGGCTTCGGCGGAAGTGAAAAGGCCGTGCAATGGGTATTCTATGATTTTATGTCCATGATCAGGATACTCTCGAACCCAGAGCCCTTGAAAGAACAAATCTGAGACAGACGGATCTTTTTTTTCTGACTCTATAGGATTATAATTATACGATGTGATATAATTGGTGGGCTCATAAGGCCCATGGAAATTCCATATAAATCTAGCGATGTTCAGCTGATTGCAACAGGAAGGGATATGGAAGCAGCTCTGCATACATTTCACAACGATTTTCTTCCTCAACAGGTTCTTCCAAATGCCTGATCAGCGCTTCTCTTACATTTCGAGAACCGAAATGTGTACTGTAGGATGAAGGGACCCGGGCCAAGCAATTGGAATTTCTTTGGATAAGATTAATAACCTGACGACATTCCTCTATACTTTTTTTGCCGCGGCTAAGAAGGACAGCCAGCGGACGATTTTGAGTTAGCGACAACTATCGAACCGCGTTACCTCGACATACCTTTTATCACCACTGACGCAAATAAGAGAAAAAACCTGCCATGGTTGCGGAGTTTCTTTGCGTTGGCTGATTTCAGCTGTTTTCTTGAGTAAACGGTCAAGCAGATGAAGAAAGTCCTTCCATGACACGCTTCCTTTGATGATAAGGAGATTCCTGTTCTGTGGTATGTCCATGTCTTGCTTCTGAGCGCCTTTAGTATTACATGAACGGACTCTTCATGGCTCAATGGTACTAACTACTCTAATACCTGTTTACTTTGCCCTGCAAATTGCTCAACTATATAGCTTCGCACTGCTTACGGTGGGTATAACATGCTCATCAGTCATCATTTTCCTCGAGACGAAAGCTTGACAAAAATCTACGCCTACCTTGAAAGCTGATTCTGAGATCTTTTGAGTTGTAGCCATATATTTGGGGAGTGCTGTTGCGTCATACGTGTTCCACAGATCAGCCTTTGCGTGCATGGGAGTGCAAAATCAAGATTTGACGCCACATATTTTTGGTTGATACTTTTTCGTCAAGTAATAGAATCTCAAATCTTGCAAACATTCTTGATTTTTCTCTTAATTGACCGCGGTGACTGATAGATATCACGTACGTATACTGTCTATTGTGGTCCAGCATTCTCTAATTACATTCTTTACTCTGCTTTTCCCAGGCAATTAGAATCCACCCAGACTATTAGTAGGTCATAACGTTCTATAGCTGCATATAGCTGTTTCCCATTGTTTGCAATCATATCGCTTTGTTTTCCCTTGTAGAAGAACCTTGAGTACTTGTCCTCCTTATCTTGGCTCGCAGCAAATCGTTCTGTTGCCTCTTTTGTGCGTGGGACACGAAGGAATAATTTACTGTCATACAATGACATATAACAGACGCATTTGAGCGGTCTCTTACGAGGATTGACAGCCTGGGGCTTGTGCGTCGCTACACTGGCGGAGAGGCTCTGTCTGAGGTTGCTAGTTGAGTGTCTCGATACGGCCATGTGAGATTGCGGTCCGCCATGATTTGATTTTTTCCACTCCTCTATTAGTTGCAAATAGGGTTCTGCTATCTCAAGGTGATGGTGTATTTTTAGGTCAGATTTGTTGAGCAACCGAGCACTGTCTGTCTGAGAGATCGAAGATGTCTCATCGATGTATACACTAGTAGGGCTCGGCGTAGAATGTGACGCATTTGCAGTATGAGTTTCGTAATTTGGGTCTCCCACAGAGTACAGTTCATGCTCGCAAAAATGGAATCGCCGCTTTACAGGTCTTTGTTTATTCCTCTCTTCGTCAAAGGCGCCGAACTCAAGATGTGATGCCGAGCGCTTGGTAGTCGACGTATGAGTCGAACTGGCTGACGAAGGCTCACCACTAACCAGCGAAGCCGCTAAAGACTCTACCGGATCTTTGGGTGTCTGCGCATGGGTTTTTCGCACATAACTTGGATTCAGAATGGGTGGACTCGATGTACATGTTGGAAAGTCGTGAGTGTGGTCGACCCCCGACGAGTAACCACTGATCAGATTGAAGTCCAAGGGTGTGGGGCGCGCTGCAGTACAGAAAGAGTCTATAGTCGTGGCTGGTGAGCCTGAGGAAGGCGTCCTTACTGGTTCGGCAGACCTTCTTTCGAACAAGAATACTCGGACGATGTGCATGGCCATGAACGATGGTGTCAAGAAAGCGGTGGAAAGACGGCTATCGTTGATTCGATCGTAGGACAAATCCCTCGTAGCCATCGGCTCTTTGAAAAGAGATTGGCCGTGTCTTTTTTTCTTGTCTACTTCAATCTCTGGCAACTTACCTGCTGGCACTGGAGTCGATGTGACACTCTCGTTCGTCACCAAGTTATGCAAGGGCCCCTTGTCGGCACTGCAGCAAAGGTTGAGTTCTTCCTCCACAAGATTTCTTATATTTGATCTGGTGATGGAACCTTTGGTGGTAGAATACTTAGTACAGATCGCGTCTAGAAAGACGCGCTGGTAACAATGTCTGATTGACGACTGTCTTTCTTCGTAGCTTGTCTTAGGAAGGTTGTGTTCACCAGAGATTCTATCAAGTTCCCTCCCAATAATATCGCAGATCCGTTTCCTTAATGTATCCTCGTTATCTCTTCTCATACCAAGCACCAAATCATTCAACGGTTGGCGCACACCGACTTGTAGCAAGCGCACATCTTTCGCAAAAGTCTCCAACGTCAGAATTGGGCCTTGCTGGTATATTGCGGATTCGACTCGATGTCGCAGTCGAGGTTCTTTGAGTAGAGGAAATAGTTGCCCCTTTTTAAATTTTTCTGCCACTTCTTTATGGTCCTTCTTGGAGAAGGCAGGTGCTAGAGATTGCAGTATCTGAACGGACTCGAAGTCTACACATTGCAATATCCTAGATTTAAATTTCAGTGTGATCTCGCTCCATTGGTCGACAATAGCCCAAATGTAGTTTTCGGCTTCCTGTTCCCAGTTGGCACTAGCCAAGAATAGAGCGGTTGAGTACGTACCTCGTGACAGAAAGACTTGCGCACGTCACTTAGGTACGTGAATGTTCGCTTGTTCCACAGAATGGGAAGCCGACTCAATTCGCGAAAAGCCTCTCTTATGCCTTGTATCTGGCTAACGTTACGTGCTTCCTTATAGATGTTCTCTTTAATTTGTGACTTTCCTGACGGGCGTGTCGCACTCCGTCCCCGTCTTGGAGGCTCAAAAAAACTGAGTACGACTTTCTGTCTCCAGTCAAAGGCCAAACTTTGACTAAATGAGCTGTCTGGATCACCTGTGCATCAGCAATAATTCAGTCTGTTGCCTTGGTTCGTTTTCTTGGTGGCCATACCATACTCGAAAAAGTCGACGACCCACCATCGCTCTTCGGTGTCGAGACGACGGAACATCTCCTTCAATTTTGCAGCGCCAGACGAGCGAGCTGCCAGTAACCGTGCCACACTTTCTATGGTTATGTGGATGTCAGCATCTCTGAACCAAAGCCTAGGGAGATTGTGGCCGTCGAGTTGTTCCCACTCGATGATCTCCCCAGTTTCCCATTGAGACTTCTGGATTTCAGCTTTGAGACGGCTTCCAGGGAGCCATGGCATACATGCTCCCCGCTTGAATTGGCTCTGTATTTCCTTCCGCTCATTGTCATATAGATAACGGTGGTGGGGATCAATCTCCTTGATTTGAGACAAGAAGATAATACCTGACCCAAGATATTTAGACTGTAGCATTGTTTTCTGCTAATAATATTGAGGGTATTGCTGGCTTTTTGAACATCGACACCATATGGATGTGGCTTTCCTGTCGGAAAGCGCTCACACGCTGACATGTTGACCTCGTCAGCAGCTCCAAATTTGGTACAACTACATAGGAATACCATGCAGCTGGCGATGTCCTGTAAAATCGCCTTCTGAGGTGTATTTCCAACCATATTTTCATAATGTCTGCTTTGTTTGGAGCCAAGTTTCCGTATCAACCAAGAAATAACAGTCAAACCACAAATACAATTGCTCCCTTTGAGAAAATTAGCCGAACGATTGGTAACGTCGACATGTTGATCGAATTCAACCCGAATACTACCTACAAATTGGAAAAGGCTATCGAACCCATTGTTGCAGAGAGACTTACAAAGCTTGGAAAGGTGAACGAAATTTTCACCTTTGAAATATACGACCACCCAAGCATCATCAGCGATTTCTCAGATGCAGCCAGCTTAAAAGACGTTTTAAATCTGAAGAAATATTGCAAGTTCACTCTTAAGCATTGCAAGATACTTATGACTGATGTAGGCACGCTATGCTATCTGATTATACGCCGCTGATAATTGCAGGTAATCGCCGGCATCTCGGCTCTTCATGAGGTTGGCTTGCAGAGAAATAAATTCTCTTTGGAAGATGTTCTTCTGGTGTGGCAAAGAGACATATTCTACTTCCAGATTGGTATGGTCAAGAGAAACTTTGTTTGGCGAGAGGGCTAACAACCAAAGCTGGTATCGAAAACTGCACATGTATCGACGGCGAGCCTACGAATGATCTAGAACTGAAATCTTTTCGTGACATTATTCTTTATGTCAAGAACGTACTAGAGAATGAAGAAAGGTTCTGGGTTGAAAACCTAGAAAGGAGTCTAGACGGACGCGAGGCACTCGACAGTGCTGCGTTAAAAGAAGCAAAAAAATGTGTTAGCGAAAAAATACTCTTGAGTGAACGTAAACTGCTTGAAAGATACATGCGGGCTGTTCGGGTCTTAGTCCCTCTAGTTGGCGAACTGAAACCTGACAAGCATGTTCAACTACTTAGTCAACTTAGCCCGTTTCTTCATTAGATGACGTCATATAATTCTAACAGTGATTCATCATTCCAGAGATGGAAAATGCGAGGAACAGTGTGCCAGGCTAATGGAAAGATCAGGAATTTGGTTCCCCTGACGTTAGTTACATAGAATCTATGAAGCTTATTTAATTAAATAGTTACATGTGCCAAATTCATAGGGATTACTACTCACTGGCGCCTTCAAGTCTACTATTGCCTCCAAAGCCTTGTTTTAGGAACCTCCCAAGTTTTTGATCGGGTTTAGGTTGCGATACGCTCTCATGCACTCGCAGCTTCCGCTTTGCGCACAGACGCCAATTGTCATCCAATGTATGTAGGACACGAACCCGCTTAGCGTACCCTTATTCAAAAAGACTTAAGCTACATCAACATAATGCATTGATTGGGATGAGAGTTTCGAAGCGGATGCATCGCTGACAAAAACCAGTTAATACTACTTGGGCAAGACTACCATTGAGCGACAGAGGCTTAGCGTGGGATAAGAGCTTGCCCGCTCACAGAAAGCAACTGCATGAGTGTAGTTACATACGTAATTACACATGATGCTCGGTGTAAGCATCGAGATACTTAACTAGTTAGGTATCGTATTGCTCCTTGGTACATACATATAAAGGACTAGTTCGAGATTGTTCTCGGCAATCAACACCATGACAGAGTGTCCAGAATACTTCATAATGCATATTATAATCCGTCAGCAGCTTGGCCTCAGGCTGATGACCATAGATTACATAGATTGAGTATCCTGATGGCAGCCCCAGTGCCATAAGCCGCCATATCCTCTCTTCCAGAATTCACTTTGAAGCGTGCAAAATCATTTTGATCAAGGCCATGATCTTCCATCGCCTACCATTGGGTAATTTGCGCGCGATTTTGCCGCTTGTGTGGCCTGAGCCATCCCGTGGCTTACTCACACGTATGCTGTTTTGGTGTCTTTGTTTTGTAGCATTTGTCGCCTTCATGCTCTCCTGTGTGGTATCTGCCTCAGCTGCACGTCTCTCTATCCGATTTTGGTCTGCTATTTGCGCAGTACTGGCTACAACAGCTGTGCAAAAGCTCAGCTTGTTGCAACTTGTATTGATTCTCTTACAAAGGAAGCACTCTATCTGTGCAAACGTTGTAGAATTTCTCCTAGGGTGAATTTGTCCCAACACCGTGGACTAGAGCCATGTTAACAGAGCTAGCGATTGGGCACATAGTGTTCTGGCACTAGTGGCGGCTTGGACCGGTCAGAGCAAGATCGTGCCTGCATCTCTTGTGGGCGCTATCGCCGTGAATCATCTCGTTCTTATTGGAGTGTGCTTCGTCAACGGTGTTCAAAACAACAACGAAACCAGATACCCATTTATGATGGCAGCAATACATGCTCGGTTATTACCCGCCGTTTTGGCTACATTAGTTTGCGCTGGCTCTGCTAACGCGTGGCCAGGAGGTAAGAACTCACTATACATGTCACTCGAATTGGGCACTTATGTTTACTCACAGTATCTGACGAACGTATATTGAGAGTGTATTGCGTCACGTCGGCAATACTTCTGCTCGTCTTTGCAGTTCATATCATTCACGTTTGTACATTGAATTCTTGGATTGTGCAGGCCGCGGATCCTCTGCTCAGGCTTAGTGACTGCAATAATCGTGACCACTATGCATCAAGAGTTAGCGAAAAGACCGATGCCGCAGGAGTGTCTCAGCTTCGGCATGAAAGGCAAAAGTGGCTGTATGATTGCGGGGCAGATCCAGAAATGCCTGGGTCAAATCATGGTCAACACCAATTTTGGGATACCGTTCTGGTGATCGCACTACTGTTGGTATCATGTGGTGCAAGCTTTGGCTCTTGTGTTCAGTTGCTCAGCTCACTGGCGCCTGATGGAATAGCTAGTTTTCAATCATCGTTGCACGTGGGCTACGTTTTTTTTCCAATCTCGACTTGTGCTGCTGGGGTAGTTGCAGTGCAGCTGCATGGCAATCAGCGTAGGTCTGGTTGGTGTTCCGACTCGATCTTGTATAGTGCCGTCATTTCAGTCTTTCGGCTAATTTGTTTCGTCTTGCCCACTTTCGTTCTCACCAGGTGGGCTACTGCTTCTCTGGAGAGCATTGAGTTTCTGTACGGATACCAAGTCGGGCTACTGGCCATCGCCGTACTTGTCCCCGTGTACGCTATGCAGAACGATGCAGACAACTGGTACGTTACCAGTGACCTAGCTATGTTCCAGCTAATTTGTTTCCAGGCCTACAGGAATAGTTCTGCTTTCGTTTTACGTAATCTATATGCTCTATGTCTGGTAGATTCTAGGGCCGATGACGTGAACAAATGATATGTTTAGAAAGCCAAGTTTTGCAGTAGGGTTGAATTCGTTTGTTTTAATGCAAAGAAGACTGAGCATGCATGTAGGCAACAGCCTACGGTTATGGAGTTTTCACCCCCCACAAATACCCTTCACGCTGCATTTATTAACCAAAGTATCTGGCTGTTTACAGCCTCGCTGTTTCTACTCAGCTAAATAGCTGCAATCTCTGGTCGCAACCTTGACAGGAGCAATGAATTTGGGTACCAGCTCTTTCTAGCTTGGCGCTCTCTCAAAGTCCCTGGCATACGTAATCACCCACAACACTTGACTTGATAAATTCTTGTGCTTTTACTACACGGTGCTCTCCCCCGTAGATACCAAAATATGATCTCTTGATATTTCTCACAAGTCGTATCATGATCATATAAATGGAAAACATTCTAGTTAACTAACTTAGTTAACTGGATGATTGATTAGTTAGAGAAATAAATTTTGATTTATGCAAGGGTTTCATTAACTACTTTAGCAAGTGGCTTCAATTATGTACAGTGATTAGCGATTGGGGCTTCACCCCTACAAGCAGCTTTTTAAGAGTTTCGTCGTCATAACACTGAAGATTGGCCAATCACGTTGATTGATTTGCAGCTGACTGCTCGCACTATGGCATGTACGGAAGGTGGGGCTGTTCAAAATCATTACGCAGCTGCGTGGAAGGGTGAAGCCGCAATCGCTGATCACTGTAACCAAGGCCATCGATGAATTCAAACTCACTAGATATGCTTTGATCACTAAGTGCTCGCAAACCAGAATGTCCATTCGTCATGTGAAGATATTTGTCTCTTCGATCGCAATGAAAGACGCACTATGCCATGAAGTGATTCAGTGATACAGTCGTCAGCGATTGCGGCTTCACCTCCGAAAGCAGCATTTCACAGAATCAGTCATTGTTAGATCGACGACTGATTAATGACATTGACTATTCTTCAGCAGACATCTAGCACTAAGCCACATTTAGAGAGTGAGACTGTTCAAAACCGTTGCGCAGCTGCGTGTAGGGGTGAAACCGCAATCGCTAATGGCTGTACGTAACAACTGCATTACACTTATCTCTAGTCTTTCTCCAGTTCTTCCATGACAATCATAAAAGAAGAGTTCTTTTGCTGAATTTGAACTGTTGCAGTTGACACAATCACAAAGACATCACACTCAAGGGAGCGCATCATATGATCACGAGCTTCCTGGTAACGTTATCATTTTGAAAGCTAAATGTAGATCACAAAATTCAGCGTAAGAATATTTGTTGTTGAGCTTATGGCGTAAGCGTTCACGCACGTCTTATAAATCTTCCCTTTTTGCTTAAATTTAGTTTTAGAAGTGCAGAACAATCTCGCCATACTTGCTACTATTTGAGGTTGTTTTTTAGCTGCAACTATGCCTCCGGACAGGACTAAGAACAGATGTCCTCCAAAGAACGCACTTCTTAGGGTAAAGGGGCTTGCTCAAAACAGAAATTCTCCACAAGGTTCGCAGATTTCCCACTCTATCTGTGGGATGACTGGGAGCTACCCAACTGGAGAAAACATCTCGCTGAAAAATTTGTACTCGTATATCAAAGACAGAACAAGCGAAAACCATCTGAAGTGCGAGGGTAATCATTATGTGCTTCCACAAGATTGTGTAGCGAGATATTGCTCGCTATGCTGGAAACAACGAGATACGCTAGTGGATAACCAGCATCAGTTTAAAGTTGCGAAGGACGCAAATAGTATCCTTGAAAAGCTCCAATTTGAGGTCAAGCCTACTAGTGGGGTGCCAGGTAAAGCTATGAGAACACTGAAAGCAAAACTCAACGCAGAACACTGTCGCGGGATTTTGAATCGAGCCCTGATGCCCCGAGACAGCATTTTGCTACTTCCGACGTTCAATGTAGATGGAAATAAGGGAAAATATGCGGAAATTCGAGTTGGGCAAACTACACGTCAAATATGCGATGCTGTGGTTTCCTATTATGATGAAAAGTTCAGACACGTACCTACTAATAATGGCCAGCAGCGAGTTTCTGTGCACGGTATTATACCCATTGAAGACTTATGCTCCAATGACACTGAAACATCGTACTATGGGCTATTATGTACAGTTCAACTGAGGTAGATGCAAACGACGGAGTTGTACCTCATGAACCTGCAAGGCTAAGTAGTTAGTCAAGACTTCATCAAGAACTACAACTTTCATTAATAAGACAATATTGAAGCATCTAATTAGTCAAGACTTTATAGTTAATCATAGAATTGCTACTTGGTTTCATGGAAAACAGAATTATATTTTTGTGTATGTTAAGGTCCCAGTCCATTATCTACCGTTAAGACATAATTAGAACAGGCCTAGTTAATTACTTGAGCAATAATATCCCCCTGAGGGGAGAGAAGGTTCTCCAAACTTGTAAATCTCATAATTAACGTTAACATTACTCTATGTTTTCCCTTCTGCAGCTGATATCATCCATTATCACATGGAGAATAACCTTTGCGTTTGGTTCCCCGTGATAAATGCTAAAACTCCCACCGCTCTTCGCTCGCTCAAATTCGGGCTTTTTCTCAAAATTATCGCTTGAAGTAATATTCTGGTAAGTAAGTCTGAAAGAATCGGACGGCGACTTGTGTTGTGGGCGCCTTGAGTTTACGACGCCGATTGGTTATCTCTTTGACTATGTCGTCAGCATCCTTAGCGGGCATTTCGTCAGTGACAACAATGATGTCAATAGGTTTTGTGCTGCAATTTCTCTCATGTTTTTCGAGATAATTTATCAAGATCTCCTTCAGTTGCGGGCCAGTTTCGGGTTGCAGGCCGGTGTGTGTCATGCTGGCAGGTCGAACGGTCTTAAAGATATCTTTGATCTTATTCTCGTCCTTGATATTTTCATGAAGCTCGCATGGTAGCTTGAGGAAAGAGGTGCAAAACCCATTCTCGTTGTGTGGCATAAAGTCTGGTAGAAGAGTTAGAAGAGTTTGAAGAGCCGATTGTGTCTCGAGCATAGAGCTGGGGTCGATCACAAAAATCGTATCAAGTTCGCTGAGGTAGGCGAGAAGGTGATCATCTGAGACCGGATGTTGTTGAGCTGAGCCTAAGGAATTATTCTTAGAACCTGTTCCGGAAGCGGGCTTTTCCAATATAGATGACATAAGCTTTTGCTTCCAAGAAGGCATTTTCGTTAATAACTAGTTGAAAGGAGTGGATACATTTAAACTTATAGATGAGGGTAAATACTGTTCGTGATATAAATACCTTGTCAGCCTCGTAGTGTCTCGCTGGTAGCCTTTTTGGGTGCCAAGTCGTGGCGCAGCCAAGCTCGCATTATTAGGTCCACAGTCCTTGCCTGTTTGTAGACGCAAGCCTCCTGGGCGTAACATTCATCCCTGCGTGCTGGGCCGACCGATGAGTTACGAACTGGTCGGTCCGTTCTGGTGCACAGGAACTTCTGTTACAATAGAATGTATGTTATGTAACACCCATTCTCGTTGCAGGCTAAGTTATGGAACATGAAATTCTTCATTAAAATAGTACAACTTACTACTTTCAGCCACTTCTCTACGCTACCGCGTACCTAAATTTACTGGCATTATACGAGACCCTCCCTAATACTGTGGTTGGATTTGAATATTGTGGTGTAACACGTGACTGGACTGTTGCTATATATTTGGATGTTTGTTCGGAGTAGATAGACACCTTCACTCAATTTCATACTAGCGATTACTTTTCAATTCTCTAATTGTGGGTCGGCCGCTTGATCTACTTGAGCTCGATCATGTACGTGCCACAATATCGAACTATTTCTGACAACTACTGTATCGATAACCATGTATTTCTAAACCTATCTCTCATGTGATTTGCACAGTTGGACGCTGGTTTGCTGCCTTAATATCGTGTGCGGCGTAGTTGGGCAGCTATTTGGCTTGCACCAAGAGCCATCATTGTCTCTTCAGGCGAGGAATTCTTTGTAGAAAATACCCAGAGAGTTAACATTGGCCTGTATCACGTCGGAATAAAGCATGAGACGCATTTGCGCTGGGAGGAATTCGTCGCTGTGGAGATGCTCGTTGATCTAAACTATTGCAGAATGTTTGAAATACAAAATCTAGTTATGTACCGTCATTTGTATTTACTTATCTTGAAGTTGCCCAGTAATATTGACGAATCGCAAAAGAGGCGAGGCTTGGCTTGCTGCAACAAAAACAATATGCATTCGCAGGTGCTTATAGTCTACCTCAAGAGGAGCAGTCTGAATTTCATACTACGTCGTAGACTAGCCAAGAGCACAGCACACAGCGGTGGCGATAACCAAGCCAATTGTCATGCTAAAGTAGGGTATTTTTTGAGAAACAGGCTGACTGCTTTCAGCCGCTGGATTGGGTGTATGGGTTGGCAGCAACCCACTAATACCTGTCAACAGGGCTGTCGGAGCAGCAGTAGCTGCTTCACTGTAAACTGATTGGAGACTGTCGACAACAGAGCTGGCCTGCAACTCTACAGATTTGATAAGAGATTCCAACTCAGGCGGTAATTCCAATCTCTTTGGTGCATTTCCCGAGTGAGTAGTGAGCTGCGCGTTGGACAGCGCGATGAGTAGAGAGCAGAGGACGATTGTATGCTTCATAGCGATACGAGAGAGTGAAGGAATTTGGGATAGTTAGAAGGGTTTGCCACTGCTTGTGTGTAGCAAGATTAGTAGATACAAAGCTTCTATAAGTCTTTGTCCCTAATTGAAAACCAGTAGACTGGATAATAGGTTTGCCCAGGATCGTGAGATGAATAATCATCTGACATAGCTTTTGGCTGCGCTGTAAGTGTGAAGACTAACTAACTATATCATCAAATTGATTTCATCAGCAGTATCCTCCTGTAGCAACAACCAAGACTTAGAGATAACTTACATACGTTCAATTCCATCCCCATTTTCCGCACCTGGTTTTCCAAAAAATGCATCTTTCAAGTTGAGCCTATAGATCTTGGGGTTTCGGATCTATGTGTGTAACTTTAGAATTGTTTATTCATATTACGTTTCTAGCCACATCAATGCTAGTTCCTGGAATATTTCGTGGAATGACTCATACGTCCTCCAATTGAACAGGAAGCAGCTCTTCAACGTCCAATAACATTTAGCGGATGTTATGCTCTCACGTCAATATTATGTATATTTAATTCACGAGTTAGTTAACTAACTAAAGTTAGTCATTAAACTTTTTAGCCAATTGGTTAGTCACCTTTTTGGGCAGCGTTACGACAACAACACCTACTATCTTTGTAATACCGGATATTCCTCCAGCTTCATATGGGAAGAAAAATTATGGGTGCTGCGTGACGGTCATATGTAGAAGAAAAGTTTCAGACAATCAGTTATCAAATTAGTAGTTTCTTCAGAAAAGCACTAGTTACCTAACTAGAATATTAATAAACAACAACGCAAGCATCATGTACACCCGATTGGGCTAGAAATGGCGAAAGCGCATATATGATCCTAAGGCTGGGAGTTGACCACAAGTGGACCTGCCAGTGTAGCCGCTGTCAGATCCGCAATGCTAGTCAGTCCTTCCTGCGCTGTCAGGACTGCAAAGGCGGTGCCTGATAAGCTATCTGGTACCATAGTATCACCAACCCCCTCGTTCAACAAGTCCAGTGGAGTGAATATAGGCTGGGCGACCTGATTTACCCAAGCTACGAATGCTCGCCTCCCTACTTGATCAAGGGCATACCCAGCAGCGGCACCCCACTCTACACTGACTTTGGCACCGGGCTGGACATGAGCAAATGTATGATTGTTAATCGTGAGCTTCGGCAATATAGGTAGCGGCAGCTGTACGCTGCAAGAGCCTGGCTGGGAATACTGCAGCGCGATGTTGTAGGCCCAGGCTGGAGTCGCCGGCGTATCGAAAGACTGTGCACTCGCATTGTGGTGTGTGTGGTCACTGAGGAGCGCTATATGCTTCGCTTCTACACTCGCAATACTCGATAGCAAAATGGCGACTGGTCGCTCCGCTGCCTCAGCCATAGACATGAATACGCCGAGGTTGATGGATTTTAGTGTAACCATGAGGAAGCTGAGCTCAGTTATGTTTTTGGGCAAGTCGTATTGGCAGGATGGCACGTCTATGTTTCCAGACTGGAGAAGCAGCATTCGTAGCGTCTTCAACTGCGTCTGTTCTTGCTGTTTGGGGTGTACACGTCAGCAGGGATCCTGTAGCGAAAGGAATAGGCAAAGTGACTTACCACAGCAATGTCTGCCACTAGACTGGCCAGGCCCTCTCGTTCCTGTCTCGCGGTCAGTGAACTCAGTTCCGCTATCCTACTCTCATTGAACGTCCAAACACCCAGATTCTTCAGGAAAAGCGCCAGTTTAAGCGCGTCAATAGATAGTGGAGGCAAGCTGATTGTGCCATTCTGCTGGCTGGCGCCCACTCCTAACAGTGATCCTGTAGGTCTGTAGAGTCCGGCAGAAGCAGAGGCCTGTGTACTCGCTAGAAAAGTAGGTAGGCTTCCGAGACCTGTCGGAGTGGGTGTGTTGCCGCCGGGCGAGAGCTCTACGAGGCTGCTCACTTCAGGGGGATTACTCGTAGCGACTGTGGCAATAGGAGCACCAGATCCTCCGATGCTAGCGGAAGAGGCAGCACCGCTGACGAGTTGACTACCATCACTTGCACTAAGACTTGTGACGGATTGATCGTTGCTAATTATGCCATTTCCACTTGGGCTCACAGTAGGCTGTCGGGAGCTCACAAGCGAGCCATCACTGCTGTCTACAGCCGAATTTGAAACTGTGGTGGTGGCGGAAGTGCTGGTCTCTAGTATGGAGCCCATAGCCTGCGTTCCATCACTCGCCGTGGTGACAGTAGAGCCAGAGACGCTCACGCTTAGGGTGAGAGCAGAACTAATGGATCCGGAAGCGCTACCTGTGCCAGTGCCCGTCTCGTCCGGAAGAGGCGATGCGTCTGTGAGACGTGATATGGTCACCGAGTTTGCAGATCCACCAGGAATGCCTGTAGGTGATTCCATTGCGCACATGGTCAAGGTCAGGGGAGCAGTAGTGAGTGTCATGCTGCCGTACATCATCGTGACAGAGGGCTGCAGACTGTTTGTAGAAAAAGGAGCCCCTGACTTGGGAAAGCAATACTGCTCCATGATGGACGCTGCAGATGCATCACCAGACTGGGCTTCACTACGACCCCACAGAGCGCTAAAAGCAAGCAGGGCAGCCGATTTGATCATGGTAAGGTGCATTATGAGCTTGCGTGCTTCGCCAGGAATGACAACACGCTCATATAGCTGGCCCTGTGCCTGCAATCATCTCTGCATGCATCAGCTATTTGATGATAGATGACAGCCATGCGTAATTCTCGCCCAGGCCCATGTCGCTTACAGATGATGGAGGCAACCTGCAGCCTGGAAGCAGGATGCGCATAGCTTACCAGAGAAGCGCGTCGATCGACCGTGCCGCACAGCGCGTCATCCATTAGTATATGCCACCTGGAACTTATACTGGTGATGACACCCCAAACCAGGCATTGTCCCCTTGGATGTTGTTGATGCGGCGTGAGCATCGTATCCGTGCGGAGTAAAGAGACATGAGCAGCCGACGAGACGACGCATCTGAACACCTCAAACCTTTTTCGCGCAAAGTCGTAGAGGTCTTTAGGAAGCTGTAAGAATAGATGATCAGCAGTCGGCATAAATCGCTTGCACGAACCATGGTTTTTGCATAAAGATGACACCTGTTTTGCCTTGTAGGCATTCCTTCTGCGCATGTCGCGTACTTTATCCTTTTCGGGATGTAATATTTGCTTCTCGCTGGGCTAGTTTGCAAAGATTTGGCTATGAATCGGCTGCTAAAAGCCGAAGAGATGTATGTTATGCAAAGAATGGCACGGCTGGTCTGAAAGCGCATTGCTAGTGGGAAGCGCCTGTGGAGAAATGTTCAGTCGCGAATGTTAAGGGACAACCCCAAATCTAGCAGATGACAAAGACGGGTAGATGACACTAACGTGCGGGATCAGTAAGCTGGGCAGATCAGTAAGCTGGGCACCCCACCAAACTTCACGCGAGGTTCTGCGCTAACGTCGCTCACCACCATGGCTCTGGCTAGCCTCTATTACCACCTTTTCTGCCTCTGCAATAAGCTGCTGAGCCTGCTGTACCTGGAGTACCCCACTAGAAGCAATATATTGACGCTGTTGATCTTGCTTTTGTCGCTGACGCTGGACTTCTGCACGTAGCTTCTTATTCTCCTCTGCAAGTATTGTTGCTGATTGCATTGCAAGCTGAGCGCTTTTCGCGAGCTGGCGTATTGCAATACTCGTTGGACTCTCTGGCTGCCGGCG